TTTTAATTTTTAGTTTATTTTCTTTAATTACAGTACAAATGAAGTAAATTAAGACATGAAACAGAATAAAGTAAAATCCAAAATAAAATTAAATAAAAATTTGAATTTTTTACATTTGCACTCCCATGCATTTGTACCAATGCAAATAAATTTGCACTGAAACCAAACACAGCCTAACCAACAAACCTAGTGGTGATGCTCAGAAAACAAGGTTCAAAGTATCAATTTAATGTAGGGTGTATTAGCCTATGTCGATGCTTTTTTTATGTTTTATTATTTTTTTTAAAACTGATTCAGAGGGATCGGTTTAAGTCCCAACTATCCTCTGAACCATGGTCTGACCCGATATAACCCTTGTAGGGGCATATTAGAAAGCTCCCAGCACAATACGTATCGGTCGATATGAGCCGATACATATCAATACTTTGAACCTTGGCGACAACAATGGCAGTGGCAGAGACAAATAGGAATTTGCATTTGAATCCTACAGTGTAGGGGAATCCACCTCAACCAAGGTAGTAAAGACCAAACCGATTCAAAACCAATGTCACCTTTTCTCCTTTGTTTTGATGGCTAGTCTCAGTGAATCCTATTCCACTGTTCCTGCTTCCATCCAATCTCAATCCCAATCACTCTCACCACCTTCTCCAACATTATTGATGGTTTGTTTCAATGCCTAGAAAAGCACACCACATTAATAGAACCTTCTTCATCATCTTTGTACCCAGAATACTCAGCCTGGGTGGAGCAAGACCAACTCAATCTGATTTGGCTATTAGCATCTCTAACAGAACCTATATTTGCACAGGTTGTGAGTTGCACCACGTCCTACTCCCTTTGGACTACCATTGCATGACTATTCTCCTCCTCAAACAAGTCTCTCGTATTCATGACTTGAGGCTTGAACTTGCTCATGCACAGAAGGGTTTTCTTACAATGGCTGACTACATTAAAAAGATAAAGAGTTTGATAGATGTTCTTTGTAGTAGTAAATTATGCTGTTAATGAGTTTGATCTCATCTACTACCTCCTAAGCAACCACGGCTCAGAATATGATGCTTTCATTATGGTTATCACCAAGGTTCAAAGTATTGATACGTATCGGCCTGTATTGTGTCGGTGGCTTTCTAATATACCTCTATAAGGATGGTTAGTTACTGATTCAGAGGGTAGTCAGGCCTTAAACCGGTCCCTTTGAACCGCTTTCAAAAAAAAAAAGTAAAACATAAAAAAAAGCACCAACACAGGCCAAGGCATATCCGCTCGTATCAATATTTAGAAACTTGGCTATCACCACTGGCTTGCATGATCTCAATCAGCTAATGTATAGAACATGTTACTAAGCTATTAGAAATGACTTGAACGTCGCTCACAACTTCAGCTAGGCACTTCCCCTTTTGCAAACCTAGCCAATCAATCTCAAGGTAGGTCACTAGGTAGCAGCAACTCCCTATCCTCTGGTTATCCTCACTCCCAAAACAATAACTCTTATGGCAGACCTCCCTAAGGTCATAACAATGGCGATAATAGAAGTAATCGTAAACCTCAAAATAATACTAAATCAAACTCTTGTGATATGAATATTGTATGTCAAGTTCTGCTATATTCCAGGACATGTTGCAAAGAAATGCATACTATTGCTCACATTATTGGGTTCCACACGCCTCAATGGAGTGACATTTGCTCTCAAATGCCCCAATTGCCCCTAGGCTCCCTACACGTCATATGCTGACATGGGCCTGTGCTAGTATTCATAAGTCAAATCCTAAATATGCCATGCTTGTTAGCCCATTACAAGAAACTGAGCCCACATGCTATTCCCAAGCCAATAAAGATCCCTACTGACGGCTTGCGATGGCAAATGAGTATAATGCTCTTCTCACTAACAATAGATGGAATCTTGTTCCCCCTCCAGAGGACAAGAACTTTGTGGGCAACAAAATGAGTTTTCCGTATCAAACAGAACCCAATGGTTCAATAGAGAGGTTCAAGGCCTATTTAGTGGCTAAAGGATTTAACCAGGAAGATCGACATTTAGTCCAGTTGTAAAATCTCCCACCATTTGAATCATTTTCTCTCTTGTTGTCACTAACGACTGGCCAACTTGATGTATACAATGCTTTTTTACATGAAATTTTATAAGAGGAAGTATATATGCTCTAACTAATTGGTTTTATAAACCCTCGGTATCCGAACTATACTTGCAAATTGTACAAATCCCTCTATAGCCTCAAACAATCCTCACGGGCCTGGTTTCACCGTCTACAGGATCACCTTCTCTCCATGGGTATTTTGGACTCCAAGACTGATGTGTCCCTCTTTTTTCAAAGACTACTTCCAACTTCATAATCTTACTAGTGCATGTTGATGACATTGTCCTCACCGGTTCTTGCTCTACCACTATTTCGTCTATCATCAATGACCTTGGGTCCACTTTTGCTCTTCGTGATCTTGGGCCATTAAGCCACTTCCTTGGCATTGATGCCCATAGATCACCTGCTGGTCTACATCTCTCATAACCAAACCTTGATGCCCATTGATGCCCATAGATATTGGGCATTTGGGCCATTTACTTGTTCGGTGTAACATGCATGAGCCCAAACCTTGTTCCTCTCTCATGGCTACCTCCTATCGTCTTTTAGCCTTTTTTGGCATTTGACATGATGATGTCATGTCACCACATACAGGAGCATTGTTGGTGTGCTCCACTGTAGTTATGTTGTAGTTACTCCTTTATCTCTTTCTCTCTCTCTCTCATCCTCATCCACATGTATTTCATTTACATATACGTCTCTCACTGTACATATGTATAAATATTCTCATATACAAAAATAATAAACACACAGAACCTTCTATCTCCTTTAGTAGACCACACCTTCCTGATTTCTTAGGCATGGTCATTTTTTCCCAATATTTTTAAAATATTGGGAACTCAAAAATCAAACCAAATAAAGAACATAATCTCGGAACTCAAAAATCAAAACATTGATTCGGTGTTGATGCATCACCATTTTCTAGAAAAACAAAAGACATTGGTTCCAAACATTCCCTTAATGTATCAAAGTGAATTGGACCCTTTGGATAAGTGGGCTAGAAGAATAAGAAGGGTGTTATTGATAAATTTGGATTTGCTTCGCACAAAGCACACATCACACAAACCTATAACATATTGTAACCATGCATTGGAAACATCTCCTCATGAACGATAACTTACAAGTACTAGTGGCTCCAAGTGCTATGAGGTTAGTATGAATGTCATGATCGATTCGACTATAAATTGGAAGGACATATAATACCAGAAAAAATTGTAACCAATTAACTAATATCACTAGCAAGGTGTTCACGTGCAAAATTTTTGATAATGATGATGATGATTAGGGGTGCAACTTAGGTGGATTGGGTTGGGTTGAAGGTTTTAAGAGTAGAATTATTGAAATTATGTATAAATCTTATTTACAAGTGTATGTTTACATATTTTACACATATAAAGATAATACACACATATGCAATATTAGAAAAAAAGATATTTTATATAAATATAATACACAAACACATATACACACATGGGCTCAGGTTGGGTTGGGTTAAGCTTGGGTTAGGCTCGGGCTAATCGAGGCCTCAACCCAAGTCAAACCCAAGTTTGGGTTGAGCTTGAGTTTTTTTGGCCCTAGCTGAGCCTACTGCCCTAAAACTCAAAACTACCCCATGCAAAAACTCAGGTTGGGATGGGTCAAGCTTGGGTTGGACCTATCCAAGTTGCACCCCTAATTAATAATGATAGTAAATAATATGCTTTCCAAAATTTTCCACAAATTTTTATATTTTTATATTTATAAAAACTATTATTATTTGCCACACTTATTTTTGTTTAATATATGATATTAGAGAAGTACCCAAATGTTTTCTACAATTTTTTGTATTTTCATATTTTTTTAATTTTTATTACTATTTAACTATGACATGAAGGGCTGGCACATTTCGTTGATTCACAAACCAAACAAGAAAAGAACCCCGTTTTGGGGTTGGTTTTAAATTTGCTATTTTATTTCTATCATCAATAAAAACAATTATTCTTTGTTACACTTATTTTTCTTTAATATAATTAATTAATATAGGATTCAATGAAAGAATGAGTGTTTACACCCTAAATATAAGACTTAATGGGAGAGAATTAAATGGGGAAAAATATAGAAGTTCAAATTACATTTTCTGACCTCACAATCAAAGATGAGCCAAATTAAAAATTAGGGGTATTATAGTAAAGAAAAAGATTCAATAAATGTTAATGAGAAGTACTACTTAAATAAATAAATATATATAAGACTTGATGAGATGTATTTGAATAAGAAAAAAATGATTGTTCAAATTACATTTTTGTCCTTATAATTAGAAAGGAACTGAATTCAAAATTTGGGATCTTTTAGTCAAACAAAAGTTCCACTTTTTTAAAAATAGTGTAAAGGGCTTGAACTAATTCCAAATAGCTATCTTATTGTCTGCTTGTGGTCCAATCCGAACTAAAATAGTAGACAATAACTAATTCCGAACTAAAATAGCAGACAATAAGATAGCTATTTGGTCCAATCCGATCCAGTCAATGTGAGTCCATTATAAATGGACCAGGTCCAATCCAATCCAATGAATGTTTTGGACTAATTTGGACCGTTTCCAATTCGATGTTTGGACCATCCCATCTATTCAAATTCATTTTGATTTAGATTGGTTTCAATTCAAACCTAGTCCATTGACACATATATTCTTATCTTATATCAATGGACCAGATATTGGTCCAATCCAACCCAATCCAATATAAATTTGTTACAAACGGATCAGGTCCAATCAAATCTAATAAATATTTTGGATCGAATTGGTACAATCCAATATCTCTTATTGATCCGTCCAAATTGATTTTGGACTGGACGGGGTCCAATCCAAAACCGGTCCATTGACACCCATTAATCGTAACTAAACATCCTCCGAGGCCCCAGCTTGCACTTTAAAAACCCACGCCGCTGCATAAACCCTTCGAGGCAGACCAAATGGCTCTTTATCCTGGAACTGTTATTCGTCGATATCCTCTGATCTACCGCTTCGCTGGTGTCTCTCCAGGACCCAGTTCCCCATTGTATAATCCGAATGGAGTCCTTGCAAGCTCAATTCCGAAATTTGGTTTTAGGGCCTCTTCTTCCTTTCAGTCCCTCGCTCATTCTTCAAGTTCCAGTCATGGTACTGGGTTTAAGAATTTGGGTTGGTCAGAAATGAAATTTGGACACACGATTTTTGATTATTTTCGGGTTTCAGCTTCTTCAGATAGAGGTGTTAGTGGAATAGGCGGCGGTTTTGGTGGTTCCGGTGACGGAAATTCAGGTGGAAGAGGTGAAGGTGCCGGTGATGGTGAAGGTGGTGGGAGTAAGTGGTCCTTGCTATCTTGGTAAATATTATGACTTCGTTTTCTCCTCTTCGTTTATTTACTTTGTTTCTTGTTGCTTCTTGACTTTCCAATAGCTATCTTATTGTCTGCTTGTCTAAATTAACAATGTTTTATTTCACTTATATTATATCTACTTTCTATAATCGTTCAAGACCTTTTTTTTTTTGGGGGGGGGGGCATTGAAGAAATTGATTATGCCTCGGGGAAAAACTATACATGCAGACAAACAAACTGAATAATTAAGTGGAAAACCACCATTTTGCCAGTTAATTCCAGAGTTGATTTAGAGCCCTTTTCTAAGGGTACAAGATTATAAAGAAATTGATGTATATGGAAAATGCATTCTCAAGATACATTTTGCTCACTGGTAAAAAAAGAAACTGCACCCCAAATGCCTTAGTCGTATGATGTAGCTGTGAAACTAAACTTGCATTTTGCTGGAACATCTACTTATATAATTATATTATTTTAGTGATTTTGTTTCATTTTGTCAGGTATTTGTCTGTTCTAGAGAAGTATCCAGTGTTGACAAAAGCTATCACATCTGCAATTTTGACTTTTGTTGGGGATTTAATCTGCCAGGTATTTTTGTCTGTTCTCTTAGTTGCAATTGATATAAGGTGAATGGCTTATTTGTTAATATGGAATTGTGATTTTACAAGTAAACACTACATGGGAAGAATGCGATCTCTTGTATCAGCATTAGCTATATCTATGTTGTCAGAATTTTACAATTTATGAGTTATGATACAATCAAGGTTTAAAATTTCGCAATGTATCGGTCGATACGTTGCGTTTTGTTAAGGACCCAATACATAGAACGTACAGAATCTGTATGTTTCGTTAGTATCGGTCCGATACAGGGCCGTATTGGATCATTTCGGGTCTGTATTGGCCGATACAAGCCCAATACGGTCCAATACACTGCATGTATCGACTGATACAATTCGAATTTAATATTCTTCTCGCTCTTATTTAATTTTGGCAACTTTTAAATATCAAATTTAATTTCCCTCTTTCTCCCTCAATTTTAGTAACTTTTCAAATTCAAATTTAATGACTCTTAATTAATTATCACATTTAATTATACACTATTAAAGGATTAAAGGCAAATTAAATAGTGCATTTAATGCAATGTTCAAATTCGAATTTGAATTTGACATGCCACGAACTTGCCTATAAAAATCACAAGTAGGGGACAAAGGGATTTGAACCCTAGTTATTAGCTTGTAATGATTACAAGTCAACAACTATGCCATACCTGGGGGTGGCAATGAGCCGAGCTTTTCACGAGCTATTCGAGCTTGGATTGGCTCGGTTTAAACTTTAAACCGAGTTTTGAGCCGAGCTCGAGCCCAATTTATAGGTTCATTTTCTAATCAAGCCAAACTCAAGCCTAATAAAGAGCTTGGCTTGTGAGGCTCACAAGCCTAATCAAGCTTTTACATACATACATGCATATATATATATAATAATAATAATAATAACTAATTATTATAATTATTAATTTTTTAAATATCAAATAAAAAATAAATTTTTTGAATATAATTTTTTACTTTTATAAAGCATTTGACTCATAGTCAAGCATGAGCCAAGTCAAGCTCAAGCTTATGAGCTTTTGACTCGAGCTGAACTCGAGCTCAAGTCTTTAGCTTGAATTGAGCTCGAGCTATACTGTCTTGGTGAGCCAAGCTCGAATAGCTAGATATTCGGCTCGTCTCGACTCAAATCCACCCCTAGCCATACCACAAGTGTTTGGCCTATAAATATGTATTTTAATTCTTAATTGAACCAGTTTTTTAGTGGATGACTATCAATAAAAGCTAAAATTCATTATTAAAAGGGTAAAAGACTTAAACATCTCCTCAAATTTATGCTAAATGCTAAGACCTCTCCTTTTTTAAAATGGACTAATGCCTCCCCTATTGGGCGATATCATGGAACAAAAATACCCCCCAGTTATAATTTTGTGTAGACCCAGTTGTATGCAACCTCACCTATCGTTAAATGTTTTCAAAAAACCCATTTTTGCCCCTAGGTTGTTATAGCCACCTGTACCAGCGTACAGTTGACCACTCAGCTCTCCTCCATAATCTATTTTCTCATTTACGTTTCCAAAAATGTACAGAACATAGTTGGGTTAGGACCAAATCTGATTTCCCCCGATGACAGGTGATTTCATGAAGGACCCACCAGCCTGAGATTCCCAAATGCATTTCATCATCACTATGCTTTGTTGTAACAATAACCTTCTGTTATTAAGTTGAGTAAAATCAAACACCTAACTGTCCAATTGTGCTCACATCAAAACCAGCAGATAATGCTTCCTTGAACTCCTTGCTTCCAGACCTTGTTCACCAGATCAGATGTTCTCACGCCAACGCCACTTTCAATAATGGATAATGTATATAGTGTTGTTGGTCTTGTCATGGACGATAACAATGAAGAGCTTGGCTTGTACATCCAGCTTGCTCTTGTCTGTTAAAGAGCATTGCAATTTGGAAACAGTTTGCATCCTTCATTATCTATAAGGAAGGTACATTATCCAGACAAGTTTGCCCAGCATTAAATATGTAAACCCGTCAGGGCGTATTTGTCTTTTGAATTATTCCGTTGAACATAATGGCTAAAATGTGTCACAAAGGAGGCATTAGTCCATTTTGAAAAGATAAGGGAGGTCTTAGTATTTAATGTAAACTTGAGGGGAGGTTTAAGTCTTTTTCTCTTATTAAAATATATAATAAATATCAACGTTTAGAGAACCGGACTGGGCATCTACCTAGATGACGTGATATCATATATATGTATATATATACAATATTATAAATTATATATTGGATTATAATATATTCAAAATATATAATTATATTCTTCTATAACATATATTTTTTATTTTAATTTCAATTTTTTTATAAGGCACCTATATTGAAAAGTTACCCAAAATAAAAACAAAGGTCACCCCAATAGGACATCTGAGCGAAAAGTTATGGCCTTTAGAAGTTCACATTAATGTGCTAAAACAATTAAAAAAAAGGTTGTTTCTTCTAAAACCGGGACTGATTCACTGGTTTTCTAGTTTGACTAGTCGGACGGCAATTTTGGCCAATTTTTTACCCAATCTAGTCATGGTCCAACCGGTCCAATTGGCTAGTCAGTCCTATTTTCTAAAAAACGATAAATATTAATACAAATTATATTGATTCTTTAAAAACTATGGTATGTGTGCATACACAAACATTTTAATTTTTGCATCATTTTTCAACGATTTCCAATTATGTCTCGATATTTCACACTTTGTATAAATCATTGAAATATGTTTTTTTTTTCCATGTTTAAATAGCTTATTTATAGTCATATAAAACTCATATTTATTGTAATGAATATAGTTTTTTAGGATTTATATGAATTTCTTAGTGTATCCATGCGTATCTTAATTTTTCGCCTGTATCCATGCGCATCCTAAGCGTATCTCGATACGTCTCTTAAAATTGTCTCTTCGATACACATAATATTTTCTATACTTTGAACCTTGGATACAATTAATGATTCAAATAATGAATCCAAGGGTTTCAATTCAAATGCTCTATCTAAATCCTTTCTGCAACTTTTTTTTGATAGATTATAGTAGTAATTGTATTCATTCATATTCCTTTCTACCCAAATAATTGGATCTCAGGGGAAAAGTTACAAAGGCAGCCTTGGTTAGATCAAGAGAATCAGAAAAACTTTACAAATCAATTCTTGACGTTGGAATTCCCTTCCAAAGTTATCCCTAGTCATCTCTGATTTTGCTAAAACATTTGCAGTCCTAGGAACCACATGAATGGGCTATTCAGATTGCTTCCTAGTGCTTGCACCTGTCTAACTAAGGACCTTAAATCAAGGTATTTTCTCTTCTGCTCTCATCCAACCAATAACTACCTGGCAGTCCCCTTCAACAATTAAATCATTTATTCTTTTTTTCAATAGGCATTTCTTTGTGTGGTCACCAGCTTTCACTGTTGCATAGACATGGATATGAGAATTAGAATCTGACCATGCCTGGGAGTCTGACTTGGCAATATGGAAAAACCTCAATGAGATTTTATGGACAAGTATAACTATTAAAACACTCTTTTATTTTTTTTGACAAATTTATAGAAAACATAAATAATCTTATCATTTACAATATGACTTAAGATTCTGTTCAATTCAACTATACAATTTACAATTTTACATCATGATTAAGATTTTCAGATCATTCTTGCACTTAACATAAGGTCAAGAATGTTGAATTGAACAATGCAACAAGGTCGCCTTTGGTAACAGTGAGGAAGAGAAAAGAAGACTATTATGCATGATAGAGGAACTAGATCTAAAAGAAGGTAGGGGGAAGATTGGATAGGTAGAGAAAGAGTCAATATTGAAAGCAAAGGGAGATTTGGATGAAATACTCAAAGGAGAAAAAATGTTCAATAGGCAGAAGTCATGAACATGTTGGATACTTTGATTAGTTAGGAAATGTTAGAAAAAAAGAACTACATTGAAGAGAAATAACTAATCAGGAAGAAATTTCTAGAATCATGGTGAATCATTTTAAAAGATTGCTTAGGACCTCCCCCTCCAAGGTTGGATGTCTTGTGATTGAGATGGCCAGCTCTAGAAACTGAAATGAGAGAGTTCTTGGAGAGACCCTTTGAAGAAGATGAGGGAAAGAAACTAGTATTCGAGATGGACACCTCCTAAGCACAATGCCTTGATGGCTTCTCTATGGGTTTCTATAAGTGCTCGATTGTAGTTACAGATGATCTAATGGGTGCAATCAGGGAATTTCATGATAGGGGTATTATTCATAAGGGGGGCTATTGCGACATTCAACTCACTCATACCTAAATCTTTGAAGCATCCAACCACCCTATGGATTTTAGATCAATCAACTTTGTGGGTTGCTTGTACAAGATCATTTCATAGATTCTCTCTCAAAGTTTGAAGTCAGTCCTTTCCTCGATAGATAGTGTCCTATTCTCAAGTTGTTTTTATGCAGGAGATCAAGACTCATTGCAAATGAATGTGTGGAGGACATGAAATGAATGAGGAGAAGTGGATGGGAGATGCTTAGAATCATGCCATTATTCAATCTTGGTGCATGGGGTGGTTAAAGATTAACAAAGAGAGGTTTTGAGGCAAGGAAATCCGTTTATCCCCTTTCTTATTTACACTCATTGTTGATGTGCTATATAGATTGATATCTAAGGCAGGTAGAGTGGGAATAATCAGATAAGAGGATGGAGAGTTGGAAGAGAGCAATTAGTAATGTACTACTTGCAATTTATGGATGATATAATAATTTCCTGTCAAGATAATGGGAGGGGGATTAGGAATCTTAAGTTATTAACAAGGTGTTTTGAGAGAATTTCAGATCTGAAGGAGAATTTAGGTAAAACTTGCATAGCGGGAATTTAGGTAAAACTTGCATAGCGGGAATCGATATGAAGGGAAAGCAAGGTGAGGAATATGTGGAGATATTGGGATGTTCGGTGTTTGAGTGGCCAATCAGTTCAGTACTTCCCTTAGGAGGTGACCCCAAGGTATTTGGTTTATGGAATCTTGTTATAGAGAAGTTTCAAAAAGATTAGTTGTGGCTTAAGAAGAATTGCATGGTTAAATCACAATGGGGGTAATAATTATGTTAATAAAATCAACCTTGGCTAACTTACCCAACTATTACCTATGAGATTTTAGAACTCTTGCACTGGACACTAGAAGATTAGAGAAAACAATGATGGACGTTTTATGGGACCTGGATAATGCCAAGAAAGATCACTTGATTAATTGGAAATTGGTGTAGCAGTAGGAGAGAGGGGGCTTAATTTGGGCAAGTTGAGGATGAAGAACTCTTCTACTTGGAAAATGGTTGTTGAGATTTCCATGAGATACAAACAAGTTGTGGCATATGACCATTAAAAGCATTCATGGTCTCGTTGCCAATGGTTAATTATACATAGGGGTGTCAATGCACCAAGTTTGGGTTTGACCTTGTTCGAAACAAAATCAGTTTGAACGGATTGGACAGACCAATAAGGCATATTGAATTGGAGTATTGGACTAGTCTAGATTTAATGGCCCAAAGTATTTATTGGATTTGGTAGGACCTGGTCCATTTATAATGGATTTATTTTGGACTGGGTCGGATTGAACTAGTATCCAGTCCGTCAACACAAGATAACAGTACGAGTTTCAATGGACTAGGCTTGGATTGAACCCAATCTAAATTAAAACCAATTTGAACGGTTTGGAGAGGCCAAACATTGAACTGGACTTGTCTAGAATGGTCCAATGTATTCATCGGATTGGCTTGGACCTGGTCGATCTGTAATGGATTCATACTGGGCCGGATCGGATTGCACCAATCTCCAGTCCATTAACAGCCCTAGTTATACAAGCTTGAACCCAAGAGAAACTCTTATTTCCCTTAGGAAAGCTATAATGTTGGTACTTATTTCTTGCCTTGACTTAATGTACTTTTTGGGAACAAAACTAAAATTTGGATGAACATTTTGTGGGTTGATCTTCCCTTAAAACACAAATTCCTTATTATTTTCTCCATTTCAGACCTTTAAGATGTCTTGTGTCTCAATGTGTTTCCTTTTCCTCAAATGGTTTAGCTTGAAATCTTGGTTTAAGGAGGGGCCTTAATGACTCAAAAAATCTTAGATGTGCCTGCTTTACTAGTTTCTTTGGAGAGTGTTTTACTTGACCAATCAAAGGAGGATAATATGATTCGGACTCTCACTTTTTCACTTTTCTTTTTCTTTTCTTCTTTTTTTTGATAATAAAGAAAAAAATTATTAAAGAAAAAAGAAGAAAAATTGAGTACAACCAAGAAGGTGCCGAGATAGCACCAACTAACAAGTGCAAAACAAGCATACTCAACTAAACAACAAGAAGGGCAGCAAGGCCACCAGAGAACACAACAAGAAACCCTTCTCCCTTCTTAACAGCAACTCAGATCACCCCAAGAGACACCTAAGCAAACAAACTCAGACCTCCTCATCAAAATAATCTTCCTTTCCTCCTTCCCCAACTTTGGTCTTCTTAAGATTCTCTTCCCTCCTCTTCTCATACTCCTCAAAAGCTGTTCTTGCAAAACCCTCACCTCCCAAAGAAAAGACCCAAAGATTTGCCAACCTCCACGTCCCTATCAACAAGTACACTTAAATCTACTCTTGTTGCACCTCCTCCCCTTTTGATCCCTTATTCCCCTCCTTATCTTCTTTCCTCTTTTCCTCCAAGCTTCCACTTTGATTCAAATGCCCCTAGGAATATTCAATGGTATATCAGGACTCCTTTCAAGAATCTGCACCTTTGACCTTCTCTGGACGGATCATCAAGTCTTGGACCTCTGGATTTAATACTTTTTCTTTTGTACATTGTTTTTTTCTTTTTTAAATTTGTTAGTTGGCCATACCCCTACAAGAACATCTTTTAGTTGCGAAAAAAACTTCTGTAACTTGCAATAAATTGGTTTTGCTTGAGGCTCTTGATTTTTTCAAATCTCCAATGAAGCATCAAACTTGGATTTTTTGAATTCCTTCCTTCTTTGTCCTAAATCTACACCGAAGTTTCCAACCACCACTTGAGCAACCAAAGAATTCTCACCGTCTTCATCAAATGTATCTTTTTTTGGAATAGGATCAACATGAAGAAAAGAGGGTGGGCCTTGGCACAACAATCGGGTTGCTTCATTGCGACTTGGGTGACCAGGGTTCAAATCTTGGAAATAGCCTCTTTGTATGTGTAGGTTTAAGGCTGTGTACATCTGTCCCTCCCCAGACCCCACATTGGCAGGATTTCTTGTGAATCTTCTCTTGGTACCTTAATCCAGGTACTTAGGGATGAAGAGGCTCCTATTTCTTGTGCCCTCCAGAATGTTTGGTCTTCCCCTTCCAAGAAGATTCACAGACCATAAGATTCCCCTACAAATTGCAACTCAACAGCGATTTGGATTTCTGCTAAGTCTTCAACCACCACAAGAAATCCTGCAAATTCATCTTCTTCCAACTCCTATTTCTAACATCGAAATTTAAGAACTTTCCATGCCTGCTCCAATCCTTTTGAAGGTCAATGATCTGCAAGCATGCAGGGGAATTCCCAGTTTCCCACCACTCCAATACACACTGCTCCTTTTCTCCTTTCGTTGAGAATCTCCCTTGCTTCTGGAAACTACCACACTAATCTTAAATTGCATTCCCTTGTCTTCTACTTCTCTGACTCCGAAACCCAAGCTGGAATACCTCTGCTCTGGAACATAACAAAAACAAACCCCCAGCCAAATTTCTTACACTCACAACTCTATCCTTACCCAAACCTAGCAATGAGACAAGCCTCCAAAAAATTTGGCCTCTTGTTCAAGTTTTCTTCCTATCTCACATTGACCTGTATCACAACAACCTCTCAGTATCTGAAAAACTTAAACATATTTCTGGCATGGTAAACAAATTTCTTTTCTTTTCTTGTGCCTCCTTTTTTTATGTCCTTGGCAGGGATCTTAATCTTACTTTTATTTGCCTTGTTAATACCATTTGGAGAGGTTCTGTGCCTTCACTAGAGCTTTATGTTGGGGGATTTACCATGATCATATTAACACTTGTGAAAATCTTGAGCAGAGGAGATCTTATTGGTGTATTTCTCCCCATGTGTGCTTCATGTGAAAAAAATGGTGAAAATAGTGCTCACACCTACAGACCTACAAATGTTTGTTTAGCTCCTTTTTTCCCTTGTCTTTGTGGAAATGCATGAGAACTGCAGTGTTATGGTGTATATGGGGGGAAAGGCATACAGGAATATTCTAAGTCATGGCAAAGGATGTGGGGAAATCATTTAAAATGTATGAATTAAGGTGGTACATGATCAAATCAAGGAGGAGGTTAAATCGTTCACAATTGATGATATCTTGAAAAATTGGAGCTTGGTGGCTTAAATCTTCAACCTTGAGAACCATTTCTGCAGCACAATGGACAAACTGCCTACTGGATTCATTACGATGGATTTTGATGGGAGCCTTGATCCAGGCCTATCCAGTGTAGGGTTTTCTTTCGGGGACAAGGGCATGATATTACATTGTATTCCTGGCCAGCAGGAAGTAGAGACTCAACTACAGCAAAAACTGTGAGTTGTGTTGGATGGAGTAAGAAGGGCTAATGTTATGAATTACAAGTATTTCATCATAGAAGGTAGTGATAACAGGATGGCTGAAAAGAATCAGGAGGGTCCATGAAGATACAGTCATAAAATGGGGGAGGCAAAGACATCATGAAGGACTTAAGAGCTACAGTTTTTAGGTTCCAATATCTGCCAATGGAATGGAAATCAGATGTTTTGGGGATTGATACCCCTAGGGGGGTGTAAAAGGCTTACCAATGGCCCTGCAAAAGATGGTTAACTGATGCTAACCACCTTTGAGGGATTAGCCATTGGATGGATGAAAACATCTTGTAATACTTTTTCATAACCATATTAATAAAATTCAATACTGATACTTGTAAAAAAAGTTTAGTGGATTTGTTAACATCAAATTGGGATGAGAGGTAAACAGTATGTGCCAAGAATGATATTTCACATAATAGTATCACATATGGCTAAGTGTCTGAGGAATTCATACAAATGTTGATTAGTGACTTTGGGCTAGTCATCAGTTTTGGGATGCACACAAACAGTGCAGTGAAGCCTTATCCCTATTTTGGCCTCCAAGATCATTCAGAAGTAGATAATGTATTTCATCATTCCTCAATCAGGTACTGTGTAAAGTGAACTTTTTGAAAGAACAAGAACATCATTGGATGCACAATTGTCATCAAGGAGCACTAAGAATTGTACTTTCTTCTGTCCTTTCCTGAATTGATGTGGTGACATGACATTTTTTGATAAACTCTCACAATATCTTTGACAATGGAAAATGTTTAAAAAAGTAATGTTTCAAGAGTGCATAATATGTTAAAAATACACAATATGACCATGTGGGTTGACTGTTCAGAAATATCGCCTTTTAGTGACACCAGTTGCCATCAAATTATCCATTAGATGTCCATAATCAATATTTTGCTTAAAATTTATACAACCTATCTGTTCGTTTACTTGCTCAAGGAAATATATTTTCTCATAGTTAGCCTTTTTACTTCCTTGCTAATCCTCTGACATGATGTGATTTCTCCAGTTATTGATTGACCAAGTATCAACACTGGACTGTAAACGAACATTTCTATTCACATTTTTAGGATTTGCATTGGTGGGCCCAACATTGCATTTCTGGTAATGATTCAGAACCTATATTTTCTTTACATTTGTAAGTTGGATATTTTATTATCAGTATCAGAAAATTAATTAATATGTAAAAGAATCATACATTCCAGAAAGGAATGCAGGACAAAGGACATGTACAAACAGCTCAGTGCTGAAAAGAAAGTTTTATGCCTTAAAAGTGATTTTTGTACAAGTCCCTCCCAGGAAAAGGCATATCCCTGTCCAATAAAACTTTATTTACTCCCTCCTGAGTAGCGTATCTGCTAGGTTGTATGCAAACCTGGGAATCCATTTGAATGTGTGGTTTATTGTGGATACCAGTAGCTTGATTTCTCTTATCAAATACCTCAGGTTCCATGGGCCTTTGTCTTCTGATGTGAGCTATCCAATCATAATGTGGCGCACCTTTAATGGATAAATCAATCTAGCTCATTGATCTACTCAGTCTGATATCAAACGGAGAAACTAACGTTTCAGCTCTCAAAGAGTTTCCTTATCCAGATGGTCTGCAGTAACTAAGTAGGAGTTCCTTTTCATAATTTCTGATTACTCCATATCCAGGTGGACCTGGATTGCTCAAGTAGCAACTATCAATGTTGAGTTGTGGAGTTCCTGCTTTTTCTCATTAAATACTTTCATTTCTCTTATTCCATATGTCCGAAATGATTGCTCCTCTATTGCATTGCCATATTAGTTTTCCCCTATTTGTGTGAGAGTCGTTGATGTCTTTGAAGCATCTTTGCACTGTTTATGATCTTAATGATGCTTCCCAACAAAAAAGCTTGGACTTTATAAGGTGATAGGAGGGGTATGATATGGAGTTTTGGGTTTGCTTATTCTGATCCCTTCTGATCCAGGTATATTTGATAACCTTTGTGACCTAGTTACTTTGAAATTTCATTGAAGAAATTCAAATTTGGGTTTATAGGTACCTGTACTTGAGTAAATTGGTGACTCTCCAAGGAGCATCAGGTGCTTTATTACGCCTTCTCCTTGATCAGGTGATTCTCTCTTCAACTCGAGATGGTACTTGCCATAACATGGCTTTGCTGTTTTATAATGAATAATTGCTGTTTTGGAACATAATTTTTTTCTAAACTTGATACAGTTCATTTTCTCTCCTATTTTCATTGGGGTTTTCTTATCTACTCTGGTTACTCTAGAGGGGAGGCCATCACAAGTAGTGCCAAAGCTTCAACAGGTGCAGTTTTATTATTTCTGTTTTTATTTTTTGCATTAGTTTCTTTCAAGGAAATTGCCTCTGTTTTATTCTTATATTTTGTATGTTCACCATTTGTAGGAGTGGTTTTCTGCAGTATTGGCAAATTGGCAACTTTGGATACCTTTCCAGTTTCTCAACTTTCGATTTGTTCCACAGCAGTTCCAGGTATGGATGGCAAAGTCTCTATTATACTTTGTTGGATATATGGTTAAATTGGGATGGGAAGTCAGGGGAGGTAATTTTTCTTTCCTGCTTGCCAGAGTGCAAGTGAAGCAACAAAATAAGAGGTTTTGGTCCTGGAAGAAATTGGTAGAGATCTTGTCATTAGTGTTCATCGAATGGTGCCACATTTTATTTGCGCTACATATAAAGATAGTGTTTTCCTTTGTGAGATTATCATTCTGTCATGGTGTTTTTCATTCTGTCATGTGTGAAATTGACAGAGATCTTGTAGGTTAATACAGTGATATGTTCTATTTTGTCTCAGGTTCTCGCTGCTAATGTTGTTGCTTTGGCATGGAATGTAATCCTCTCATTTAAAGCTCACAAAGAAGTTATCACCAAATAGGTATACCATTTTCCCATATCATAAAGTGTATCTAATCTTGTTTTGATTTTCTTATTTTGCAAATAATGTATATTGTATGCATTACACATTTGTATTTATTTGCACTTGTCTATATGAATATGACAGATATTGCTTTTTGCAATATGGACAATGTCATATAATCAGTATGATTGAGCCACAGTCTAATTAAATAGTTTACTCAATATAGGTGGCACTTGATGACTTCCTAATGGAAGTTTCTAGAGTTTGGATTTCCTGAACAGAAAACAACTATTTTTTGCTCCCTAGAACGCAAGAAAACTTCTATCAAAAGGTTATCAAATACTGCTTTTAGCAGCACTCATGGATTGATCCTTCTAAACAATCAGAAAACAAACACTTTCCAATCTTCAGAAAACAAATATATCTGATCGTTATAAAATTCCAACCAAGTATGGTTCTTTGTCTAGTAGACTCCTTTTGGCCAAGTATTAGTTAGAATTGAAGTAATCTGTTTGGTCATTATAATCAGGTTGCTAGTTGTCTTTACCTAGAACTGTCTGGATTAGTTATGTGTAAGATGTCCTTACTGAAGTCAATCCCTTAACCCACCATGTATAGCTATTTCTCCTTGCTTTTTTTTTTAATTATTTTCATAAGAACAGGGTTTGGATCTGGCTGGTCTGTGCCAGATGGTATATTGCAATGTGTCATCAAGAATAGTAACATCTGTTTTTGCTTTTTCCCCCTAATAAACAGTGTTTCGAAGTGGCTATTTGAAGATATTCAGATAGGAACTAGCAACAACTGGAGAACCACATGGACGTGTTTCACAGGCTGCAAACTCTGCAACATGTGAAAAGTTTCAGAAACAGATTCCAAGTCTGTTTTGTTTAGACAACAAACCTCTGTCTCTCTCTTTCTCTCTCTCTCTCTCTCTCTCTCTCTCTCTCTCTCTCCATGTGTGTTTCTGTGTCTCGATCCCCACGTACACATGCATGCATAGAAGGGATAAGTTCAACTTTATGAAGCTTGGCTGGGCCTTGTGAGATCCGATGTGCGGGCCTAAGTTGATAAATTCAGTCTAGGTTTGCCAATTAATATCATAATGTGCACTAAACTAGAATTTTGGGAATTCTCAGTATTGAATGTGAATTAAATTAGAATTTTAGATATGAAATTTCTATAATGTTGGATTACTAACTAGACAAAAGGTCATGACAAACTCTTTAACATTGGCATCAGAACGTCCCAAAGTACACCTTGTCATTTGATGTTCGTTGATGCTTTTACGGTGTTGTGGTATGCATGTTGTGGAAACTAGGAGAAATTTCGGAAACATTACAATATCCTTGAGCAATCAATTAATGAAATTAGAAACATCAAGACTATGTTTGGTTTGAGGGAAAGGAAGGGATAGGTAAGGAAACCTATACAAGATTTGTAAAGGTTTCCGTATCTCTCTCTCCCTTTTCCTACTCCTTCAAACCAAACATAGCCCAAGGGTAATCTAGATGCCTCTTTCAGCCAACAAAAAGTGTTTGTATTTAGGTATTCCTACTCCCCACGAGAGTAAATGAGTTATCACTACAACTACAAATATGCTAGGTTTTGCACTGTACATATTTGCATTTGTTTTTGCACTCTTCCCAAGCTGAGCCAGGTTCAAAGTGCATCGAAGAAAAAGAATAAAAAAAATATGATGATGCATCGATTGACATGTATTTATACTCTTCCTTGAGTATCAGTGGGTTGAAAAACCAATATATTTCGATATTTTAATTTGAACCCTTAACCCCTGTATGGACCACAAGCCTTAAGGCTCCATCATTTTCTTTTTTCTTGTTCCTTTTGCAAGGCACCATCATTTTCAAGAACTAATTAGAATAGATTCTCGCTTTTATACCAAGTATGAATAATCAAATGAAAGAAAGAGAGAAAAAAGGGAGGAGAGAGATCAAATGAGAGAATACAGTAATGCGAGATCAAAGTGGAATTGTAGGGTACCCAAATGATATGGGAGCAGTATTTAGTGCAACAATAGCATCCAAATATAGGGCTGTAAATGGGTCGGTTATTTCTTATCAAACTGAAATGATCGACCTGATTATATTGGTTTTAATTCTGTGATCTTGGCTCAATTAATAACTGAGTTGGTTCTGGTTCTTTTTTGTTTTGAACCGATTAAGATCCGAACTATTTATTAAGGTAATAATATATACAGGTTTCCTAGTTTTCTTGTAATTTTTATCATGTTTTATGTCTAAAAGGGTAAATTTGGGAGATAATATATCAAGATAAAGATAACTTTGATTAAAAAAGCTTGATTTATTAACATATAAGCAATTCATTGCCATTTTTATTAAGGTTATATCACCCAAAATGTTGTAAGTTGTTGTCAACATAGGTAATTTATTGATGTCAGTACAATCGGGTCAGAATTGATTATTTTGATTAATAACAGTGATAGTTCTGAGTCTATGATTTTATCCTATAATTAAATAATCAGTTCAGGACTGATACATCCTGTCCTGATCCAGACCTGACCCGTTTACAGCCTAGTCAAATATATCCCATTTTGTCCATTCAATCCCACACATGTTGTGCTTGTATTAGTAGGTAAAGTAAATATTCTACTCAACAGTTTAGCATACTAATTCATCAAGCTCATTAGCTGGTGTAGTCATTTTATACAATTATTTATTTTCTACTTGTGTCTAGTACAAAATAAATATTAAAGAATGGGTTAGTCCAAAAAGGTTGAACCTTGCTAGATGCAAAGGTGCAATTTTTAAATCTTGAATCAGCCAAAGAATGTGATTCCATGATAGAATGGTTCTCTCCTTGTATCAGTTTAGAATAATCATCAAATTTTGTTTCAGAAATTGAGTAAAATGTTACTTGATCTGGATGCCACTAACGCAGCTCTCACACCCGAGGATTCAGTCAAAATCAACCTCCATAGCTGAAGGTGGTGTAGCCCAAGAATGAAGTTCGATCTATTCAACTTGTGAGAACTTGATGTTGATCTTGTGGACAGATCAAATCTCCTATTATGTGCAGATTTTGATCACTCAAAAGATTGGTGTTTTTACTAGAAAAATACAAAAGAAAGAGAGAAAAAGAATCTCCTTTCAGCCTTAGTTGAACTAGGGTTTTTGGTAGACAATCTTCTGATTATTCTCCCTCTCTCTCTAATCCATTTTAAATTGAACTGGACTTCTAGAGTCTTAAAAGGAGGTTCCCAATCGATTTCTAATTGAATTAGAAACCTACAAATTTTCTAACTTAGCTTAGGAGTATGAGAGAAAAGGTGCCTTGGTAGTTTGACCCATACACACCAACTAACGAACTTCCTAGTCAAATCAGGTAGGTGACTAGTCAAACTAGTCATGTTGGAAACTTGGAGTTCAATTTATCCTTTCAAGCAACATGATTTTCTTATTCTTTGACGGGTCAATATGACCTAAATATTATATGGCGTGGAACCCACTAAGCTCCCAAATCAAAGCATATAGACTTGGCCATGCATTAAAACACATGGTCTGGATTCACTAATAAGACACTAAGACCTAGTGAACCGCCCACCCAATTTATTGGGCTTAGAACTGGCCTAACACTTGGGGCTGTTCGTTTCATCTTAACTCTTATCTCTTAAGAGGAATTTTTTAACTTTAAGAGAAAAATGGTTGTTCGTTTCCCCTTATCTCTTATCTCTTAAAGTGCAATCACACAACTTTTTGTTTTCCAATGATACCCCCAAAAAGACAAATAAAAACTCTCATATATGGGGTCAAAATGGATATTTGATAATTTTCAGAATTAAGAACAACATTCTTTGCATTCAGAGTTCAGAGGAAAGAAAAGTTCACCAATACCAATATACCTCCTAATGTAATTATTGCACTTTTAAATATCAGACTTCAGAGCAAATGAACAAGCCCTAAAACTACAAGTGGGGTTTGGGTTTTAGCATCTTATGAGCCCAAGCCCAATGGTTTAACTTGAGTAAAGTGCCCATAAGGTTTCAACCCGACCACCAGACACTTGCTCTCAACCTCTAAGCCAATAATATCAATGCACTACTTACAAGGAAAGACCTTTTCCTTGACTACAAGATATAGTGTCACACCTTCTACTTGGATGTATCTTGAGTTTAAAACTTTTTGCAAACCCTTTTTATAAAATAAACTATACATAGACATAAATACATTTTGCAAATTGATTTCAAAGCAAGTTAAAATATATTATTGACAGTTTTAGGTTTTCATTAAAGACAATTAAACCAAAATATTCACTTTATCTAACAAAGTGGTTGATCATATCACAATGATCACCCACTCAAGTGTTATTCCAATTAGATCCAACATACCCAAGTATTTGACCTAAGTGGATTTCATTGATTGGCACATCAAAAGTACATCAGTTCAACACTTAGTAAAGTATTACTGTCAAGTTTGAAAATGGTGTAGAGCATAATTGAAAATGATCATTGTTTAGTGTTTCACTAAACACTAGACTTGTTCATGGGACGGGTCGAGCTTTGCCTCTTTATAAATAGAAAGTCACCAAGCTCGAGCCCAAGTTCGACTTGACCATTGGGCCTAGATTTTGAGCCCAAGCCTAGCCCTATATAAAGCCCAAAGCTCGACTTTGACAGATATTATATATTTAATATATATAATACTTTTTTGCTATTAATTTTACTATATAATATATATATATATATTATATTTCTATTGTATATATAATATTATTAGGTCGGGCTCGAGCTCGAGCTAGGCTTATTTGGGAAAGCCCAAGCTTGGCCTGGAAAATAGTCAAGCTCTTGGGCTTAAAACTTTGTTTAAGCCGGATTTAGGATGGGCTGGCTCGACCCATGAATAGGGTTACTAAAAACCCACTCATTGTATTTCAGGTTTAACCTTAGAAGTTGAGACAAACTATTACACTAATTTGACAGTACAATAGTGTTTGCCTTGGCATGACAAACTTACCAAATTTATCAAATGGTTGATAACATTCTAAGTTAACATGAGTCTCATGAATGTCCAGGTTATGTGATAAATCACATAAACATATCAAAATATATGAAATAACAATTTTTTGGTTTCACTAAATAATAAACATCAGATTACATTAATTTGGAGCTGAGGGCATACATTGTCTAACAAATACCATCTTTGTGGCGATCCTTATTAACTATAAAGGTTTGAAGGATATTTTTGATTTGTGGTTTTGTTTGTTCTCAATCTAGTTCTAGGATGAGAAATCTTATTTTGTGCTTTTAGCTATGTTGATGGTTTTGGAACCAGTAAAACTGAGTTTGGATTTCCTCCTCATAGAATCCTCCTCATACTCACCTCATAGCGTGTTGTAGTTGCACATCAAGAACATCTCTCATACTTGTATTTTTCATTCATGGGGAGATGCTCCCAAACACATACCTGCAACAAGTGCTGTGAGGTGGGTGTGAAAAGGATTACCTGAAGAGGAAATCCAAAGATTTAGTACCACCCTCCTTTTTGAACATGTCAACTTGTCATATTCTAATCCAAATGTCATGTTTGCTGCTATAAGCATGACATGGCAGTTATATTTTTAACCTTACCAGTTTTTTAAAAGGCAATTTTTATTCACAAATGTTCTGAGCAAAGACCATAAAGACAACAATCAGCGAAAGAGATAAGAAAATAAAGAGAAAACCCATCACTAGGCGACAGACCTAGTTGCTGATCAAGCAAAGAAACCACTAAGCAGTAGGAGAGAAAACTTATGAGCCTTTCAAATGGCGCATAATTTGAAAATGTCAATAAGGAAGAGTATCTGCGTTCAACAGAGAATAGCGTCAATGAGAGAATCCCCTCAATGACTGACCCAATCAAATTGGGATTTGCTCTTCACGGAATGCACTTCACACCAACCTCACAGGTACATCCCACCATGCATTGGGAACATCTTCCCTCGACAATAACACAGAAGTATGGGAGGAGATATTCATAATACATGGTAGGATGTACCTGTAAGGTCAGTGTGAGGAACAGATCCGGACTCGATCCAACCACCGTAACCATATCCATTTGGGATCATAGGAAATGCTGATTGTCAAGGCCAACCCCATCCCTTGGGAATACACGATTAAATTGGCAATCGTTTTTTTTTTTTTTTAAATAAATTGGCAATTGTTTTCAATTTTGTT